TTGAGTCAAAAGCAGAGCTATACGTGTTCAATATTTGTCTCCCTCGATTTGCAGCAAGGCAAGCTCATCGTTAAAACATTAATATATCGGTAGAAGGTATTATAAAACAAATGTCCCCTTTCTTAGATACATTTATAACCCAAATGAATGGTTTTTAATTCATCATGCAGCACTTACCAATCTGCAGATATTACTTCCACAAAAGCCTTACTAACCTTTTTTCAGATGGTGATAGAAAAAAATATATGTTAGATTTTTATCATGAAGATGTTAAAGTATCTTAGAATGCCTTATTAGCTGAATAAATATGTTTATAAAATTAACTATGGTTGATATAGTCCCAAAAAATGCTATGGATGCTTTGCATTTCAAACACATTTTAGATTATATTCCCAATGTATTAAAAGGGTTTATATATTAGCCTCTTCACATTAGTAAACTAATGAGAGAACATTCTCTTTTTTAAGAAGAATAACAGAGCCATGCGAAGGTACCATTTGCAGGGCACGGCCCAGATTTTTTTTAGAATTTTTTACGGCCCGGTTCGAATTTTTTTAAATTTTTAGGCCCGCCTCGGCTTTTTTTAAAATAAAATTTTCAGGCCCGGCCCGGATTTTTTTAAAATAAATTATATATCTTTTTTATTTTTATAGCTAATAATAACGATTTAAAATATACAACCCAGCCCGGATATTTTTTTAAAAAAATTTTCAGACCCCGCCTGGTTGTTTTCTAAAAAAAATTTCGGGCCCTGCCCGGTATATTTAAAAAATTAAAATACGTCCGGCCTCCAGGTCTCTGAAAAACATACCAAGAATTACAACTTATGAAAGTAGATTGAAAGGTTTGGATCTTTTGAATATTCATAGGCATCTGACAAGCAAGGATGAGATAATTGAAAAATTAGCTCAATCCCAACAAATATTGGATTTTACATGTAAATATATAACATACAAAATACAATTATTCCTAAGAAACTTTTTGTGTATTAATTTATATTTCCAACATTTAAATTTTTTATATACAGTGTTGTGATGATTTAATGAAACATATTGACGATTAAATTAAAACCCACTCCCATTCATATAAAATTATAATCTTTGCAAAAAATAATTATAATAAAAGAAATTTCAATAATGCGTTGTCTATATTTTAATTATTTTTGCAAAGATTATAATTTTATATGGATGGGTTTTAATTTAATCGTCAATATGTTTCATTAGATCATCACAACACTGAATATAAATTTTAAAGGCTCAAAAAATTCAAATTTCTATTTTGGGTCATTTAAGTGATTCATATAGTAGTTATATTCACTTTATATTTTCACATTTATTTTATAGTTTTTCTATACCGCCAGTTATATCCGTTTAATTTAATTCACATTTAGTTTATAGTTTTTTATATGACGGTTTATACAATAATTTTTTTTATAATTCACATTAATTTAAAATTGTGTATTAGAAATAATTATTAGTTCTAATAAATTTATGCTTGATATTTTTAAAAAACAATAATATTTCTTAAAGAAATTTATTATCCCCCCCCCTCTTCCCAGACCAAATTCCTACGTACGCGCCTGTTGGTATGAATTATAAAATTGTAATATTTAATTCATAAAATAAAAAAATTAATATATTAGATTTTTTAAAATAAATATGAGAGCCTCTAGATTTTCTGGCTATAAGCTTCTAAGATATGGACTATCTATATCTCCTGCCATACTGAAGGCAGACCAAGATGATTCCGCAGATAACGCATTTTGCAAAATTATCTGTCTTTTGTAAAATATTCCTTTCTATTTTTATAAAAAAAACTTTTAAATAATATAAATCTATTTAAAAAAAGAAATAAAATTTAGAGGGTGTTGGGCATTTGCATTGTTTAAAAAAAATGATTTAGAAAATATTATAACAATGTAAAATAAATATACATAACATAAAATAAAATAACAAAAAATGTAAAAAGCAGATCGGGTTTTTGCAGGTATCTGCCCGATCCGATATTCGGAAAACGCTAAATATCGGTACCGATCTGATTCGATATTTAATATCGGCACAGCCCTACTAGTAATGATTGCCTAAAAAATAATCACTTTAAAACTATCATTGATATAGCAAGGGATGTTACAAAATATTTAAGAACTCCCACAATTGTAAGAATATTAAAATCAATGAAAAGGTCAATGGCAATATTAGATTGCACGACACGTTGGTCCTCATTATATAAGGTTGAAAGATTTCTGTAATGATTTTATTATAAGAGCATGTTAAGTCATTTTGTCGGAAGATGATTGGTGCCAAGGACCTTACTAGTGTATTAGTGCCTTTAAAAATAACAACATTAAGATTATAATCAGAACAATTATGTTTATCTGATTTTTATGGCGTATGGATTAGATGCCGGTTAGATTTAAGATTTACTAGTCCTTTTTCATACGAAATATTAGAAAACATGAAAATTTGAGAGCAACAAATTTGCAAAATAGTGTTGTATATGCTTCTATATATAGACCCTCGATATCAAGTTTGAGTATTGGACAAAAACAAATGGCTAAAGACCATCTTAAGGATTTATGGCATACGCAAAACTCCATTATTTACAATATATTGGAAGCTACGACAATAATACCTACTGGTTGTAGTGATAATAATGATAATGATTGCAACATTGATGATCTTGAAATTTTACTTTTAGATAGAGAAAAAAAAATCAAATTATCATCAGATAAAAAGGAGGATCAAAAAATACTTATTTCATCTTTAATAGAAAAGTTTTCAGAAGTTAAGAGAATAAATAAGGATACGAATATTTTAATATTCTGTGAAGTATATTCTTCAATATAGACAGAATTATATATCTTGTCTAGAATAGCCATGGCTCTACCGGCGACACAAGTACAATAATTTATGTATTATAAAGATAACTATCTATTTTAGGTAATAGAACGTGAATTTTCATCTTTGAAATATATATTGTCTAAATACGTGAAAATCTCAAGGATTATATTTTAGAAGATATTATGATTGTGTGATTGAATAAAAGATTTAAAATATAAATTATTTCATTTTTGAATTTTTTATTTGTAAATTATGAATGTGTATATATTGTAGTATATATAATAATAAATGAATGAAAAAAAGTCTTATTTTGAATCGTTTTTTTTGTTCCCTAAACCCGAACTCTGAACCAAGACCCTTTTTAAATTTTATCACTGTACCCGAACCTGGACCCTTTTTTTTGTCGAAGGGTTCACATACCTGTTATAAAATATGACATTTTTCTTAAAAAATTCTTATTAATATAAAATTTTTCAAATAAATAAAAATAAAAAGTTTTTTTTAAATTTTTTTTAAATTAAACGAACGTTAAATTTGAACGCGCTCGTCATAAAAAAGGAACGCGTTCATGCTCAAAGTTCGTCAAAAATAAATGGAACGCCATTCATCATTTTTTTCAAAAAACAACTTCGTTCACGAACGCGTTCTTTTTGAACGCATTTGTTTACAGCACTATTAAAAAGTATATGAGATGAGAAGATATATGCAGTGATGCAAAATCGCTCCAATTGAGCTGATTTTTAAAAATGGCTGACTTGATAATTTAGCCAAAAAATACTTTCTAAGCCTCGCTAATAGATGTCCAAATTAATCTTCAGGTTTGCATAATATTTTTCTGGATAGAATAGTGAGTTATCCGTTTTTAACTCAAATGGAATGATTTTGCAACACTAGATATATGCATTAAAAATTAAAATGATTGTTTACACAATACAAAATCAGATATTATACCGGAGCGGTTATCGACCGATATCATTTTAATACCGGATCGCCTCCAAAATATAATATCGGTACACCCCTAGTCTGAATACTGATCTATTTTTAAAAAATTAGTATTATAAAAAAGCTTATTATAATGCAATTCTTTTTCATGCTTACCCTCTGAAAAACTTTTTTAAACTATCTCTTTTTAATATTAGCAATTATCCATCTTTACTCATTGATAAAATTAGATAATTGACTAACATTTTCGGTTGTAAAACCAAATTTCAAAATTCTGCTAAAAACACCTAAAGTTGAATATTAAGATTTGTTATTAATGTATTGAACTCAATTTTGTTCTGTCACTGTAACTAGCCAATTTTAAAAATCTTCTTTCATTTAATTTTTTTTAATATTGAATCTGATCGATATTCGCAAAAACGATTCGATCCGATATTTTTTATTGTTTTTGGTTATTTAATGATTGTATATATAATTATATAATATTTTTTGTTTTATTAATAAAAACCTAATAAAAGGAACAAAAATTCAATCTATTTGTGATGTTTAAAAATAATCCATAATTATTTATTAGGGTAGCTCAAAATATATTATCTTTATCAAGTAAGGAATTTAAAAATATCTAACAACTTACATCAGCTAATGTTGTGCCGATTTTTAAAAATGGCTAACTCAAAGTTTTGACCAAAATAAATTGCTCAAGCATGGAGATTTTTCCCACGGATGATAGATAGGCTTTGATATCTATTGGCGAAATTTCGAGCATAATTAATAATAATTTGGCTAAAATCTTGATTCACTCATTTTTACAAAATTGAGGAGCTTAACAACACCACATTCAGCTATAAACATTGCCCATAGTTTAAATGAGTTGATTAACAGTTGGAGAATAAAAAATAAATACACCTAAATCATTCATGAATTAGTTGGTTCTTTTTTGAATTCAACATATCCATTTTTATAACATTGGTTCAAATATAGATGGTAAATAAAAATTAATATAAATATTAGTCATCGGATCGGTTTTATAGTAGTATCGGGAAATATCAGATCGAATCGATAAAATATTTGTGGATCAGAATATCCCTAATATTTATAATAAACTTTATATTCGGCATAATAATTGTTGAGCCGCTGGCTCGAAAAAAATTTGAGTAAGGTTCATCATTATTCTCACTCTTTAAAATTATTTTATATTCTATATATATATATGTCTAGCTGTCGGAAAAAATCGTCCTCTCCGTAAAAAGCTGCCCACATACGTCCCTAACAAAAATAATCACCATCCACATAAATCTTTGACCCACTCCAGCCTACTTGCTATGCGAAACGAATTTTGGGATACTGCCCCGGCCTTTGAGGGTCGAAAAGAGATTTGGGACGCTCTTAAGGCCGCGTCGGAAGCTCTCCTAAACAACAAGGACTTTGGTATGGCCCAAGCTATACTGGACGGTGCCAATATAACTCTTCCTAGAGGTATGTACACATTGATTAATATGTTAGATAAGTTGGAAAGGAGTTAGATTATTGAATGAGGGCATGAAATGTGAATTAAGCATATATGATTTCTGATAATAAAAGGGCTTTTTTTTGGCGAGACCAGCTAAGATTTTATGAATAATATAGGTAAATCATATATACAAATGAAACCTCTAAAGATGGTCATCTCCTTATCCCTACCACTAGTTCAGTATGTTGTCCAAAATGTGTGCCCCCTTCCTTGAGTTAACAATTTATGAAGGTTTCATTGTACTGTATAGAAAAATGAAATTAAAGAGTATATGGTGGTATGATTATAAGTAGGGATGTACCGATATTTTATATCGGATCGGATCGGGCCGATATTTCGCTCATTTTAAAATATCGGTTATCGGCAAATATTATAAGATTTTCCAATCCGATATAAAATGGCGCTTTTAACAAAATTTAAAAAAAGTTATATCTAAAAAACCATTTATTTTTATAAATAAAATCGAAATACATTTTTATGTTAAATTTTTTTAATAGAAATAATTAGTTAATAAACATTCTGCAATATAGTTATTTTTTTTTCGCATTCTGTTTAAAAAAGTGTTAATTAATCTCTTCAGTATCTGTTTTTAGTGATGCTAGTGATATTAACAGTCCCCATCACCGCCGACATATCTCTGATATAAAAAGAAATCTTCGATATATTAAATTTAAATATTAATTTCAAATTTCATAATATATTTTTTTATTACTAATTATGTAAATAGATTAATGTTATTACTTATTATATAAATAATAGCAATTGAATTGAATATAAACTATAACTGACCATTATAATATATTTAAATGACATATGTTATGGTGTAGTAAAATTATGTTGTACTAATAAAAAGTATATTAAAAATTAAAACCGGTATCTTTGCAGAATACAAAATTAGATATGATATCGGATCGGTTATCGGCCGATATCAATTTAATATCTGAAATATCGGATCGGCCTCCAAAAAGTGGTATCGGTACACCCCTAGTTATAAGATGAAGTTTTCCTTCGATATTTGTAAGCTGAGAAATCTTTTTTTTCAGCGAACCGCGAACAGTATCCTTCAGGCCTTCCTCGGATCTTATTTTTAGACCGGCCCAACTTAATTATTTATAGCTCACGTTCTTTTAAAATTTAACATAAATATTTATGGCTATATTTTGTTCATGTGATTTTTAAATGTTTAATTAGTCAATGTATATTTTATTAAAAAAATCGGGTTGACCCGGTTTTGTTACTTTATTTATTTTGAACACCGGCCGGGTTTTTAAAATTATGCCATTTTACAAGCCTGCTTATTTTTTTAAACGAGTCAAGCGAAAAGTTTTTATAGCCATTTTTTAAAAAACTTTTTGATTTTTATTGTTTTCCATTAATTTTTATGGCATTTTGAGAATTGAAACCTTTATTTTCATTGAACGTTAAAATTGAATTAAAACCGAAATTAATCAGAATCATCATCGGTGAATGAAGGATAAGTTTTGTTTGGGATATAATTCTTAAGAAATCAACTAAATATTTTTTTTAGAAAATAAACGTATCTACAACTTACAAACAATATTTTTTCACATAGAAAATGAACATCTAATTTATCATAAACACAAAATTAGATACTGAGTTATCAAAGTAAATAATATTGGCTACTTATTAATTAATTTGTTAAGAGGGGGAAAATCAAATTCAAACTTTAAATCAATAAGTTACTAATTAGGTTTACTATCTGATAATTGTAATTATTATAAAGGTTCTGCGATAACTATAATTCTTAAACATTGAAATGGGAATTTATAATTAACTTCAATATCTTTTTTGGTAGCTATAGCTAATAGCGGCTACTTTTTTGTAATTATTTAATTTTTTAGCGCGCTACTTTTTTTGAAAGTAGCTAAGTAGCGCGTTACTTAAATATAAAGAAGGTAAGTATAAACATGAAATTTAAATATAATACCATAATTAATTATAATTTTTATGATTTATTATTTAATTTTGAAATTGAAATATATTTTCAATTTGTAATTTATATTTTCATTTGTATTTATAAACCTAAATCACATGTTAATAATTTAAAACCAACCAAATCGTTGAAAGTGATTCAGACAATGATATTAACGAAATGGAAGATACCAGGGAAGAAAATGTTCTTAATAGCTATAATACAAATTTCCCATTCCCTAGATTTGAAAATTTTTTTAAAATAAATATAAAAACCAAAACTGGCTTCAAATTTATTTGTTTAAAATATTTCCTCAAATCAATCCAGTTATAACCTCAAGAAACACCAAAAGGTAAATTGTCATTTTTACATTCTAATAGTATTTATTTTATAAGACTGTTCATGCCAATAGTTTTAAGGAAATGAAGAAACATCTAAATAATTTTGGTATAGGCGACTCTACATTTAAAAAGACTAATTCAATTCAAACCAAATTAATCAATAATACAAATGCCAATATTTCTCAGAAATTGGCTGATATATTGTTGATTTTATAATTGATACAGTTCAGCCAATGTCCTTGGTTGATAATCCATCATTTACCATGATAATTAAAACTTTATCTCCTGGTACAACAATGAATAAAATAGCAGATAACTTTAAAGTGATGAAAGATGCTCTAGTAGAGTTATCAGAGATATCATATATGTGTACCATGGTTGGACACATAACAGAAGGTAAAAACTTATAAAATGCAAAAAATTACCATAAATATTTATTTTTATTACATAAATTTTTTTATAATCAAAACTAACTAACTATATTTTAATATTTATAAATGTTGATTTTTATATATTTATTATACAATAACATTATAAGCAAAAAATAAAACAAATTTGTTTCTAATTTATTTTTTATAAAAAGTAGCTAAAGCTACTTTAAAAAATAGTAAGCGGTAGCGCGCTACTTTTAAAAGTAGCGTTTAACAACTCTGCTTTTTTGTAATGTATGCATATTTTCATAAAATATATCGATCTTTGCAGCTAAATTTTTCAATATTAAAGGAAGCCTATCTGAATGCTACGACGAACTAGGAAACCGCTATAGGGTACCGGCTTATTGCCTTACCACACCTCTCAACCTTATCTCCCCTTCCGTATCCTCCTTCAAAGACAAGGAAGAAAACAATAGCGTGGGACCTTGTGGGGTCGGTTCCTCTAAACAAACTCAATCGCGAAACCAGGATAGAATTAATGTCGAAGAGTGCCAAGAGGAAAAGAAAGGGGATTCTCGGCAAAGTATGGTATTATATATTTTTTAAATATTAAGTCAAATTATAGGTAACTTAAAATGTATTTATTTAGGATTATTATAAAAATCACACATTATATATTTCTTAAAGATGCCCACCACAAACGAAACATTCATATGCTAGCATAATGACCTTTTACTTAATTTTTTTACTTTGTTTTAAAAAATTTCATTTTTCTTCTTCATACAAAATATATAATTAATACTTTCAATAATTTATTAGTTTTAAATCACTTATCTTTATATTAATGGTATATTCTGTTTCTAATTTTATCCACAAATCTACAGGATCACCTTTACAAAATAAAATTATGTTTTTACTAACATTAGTATAAACTATCACGAACAAGATCTAGTTTTTACCAATTGTACGATGCTAAAATGAACTCTTAATTATTAAAAAATAATATTTTTATTTCTCCCAAAAAACGGATATTAAATTTTTTACTCCTCTCAAAAAACGGATATATTGCCTAAAACATAACAATATAATTTTTTATTGGTATTATTTTATTACTCTCACTTTTTTTTAACCTAAATTTTTTTTATATATTTTTTTAAATGTTTTCATTTTTATTGTCAAAATAAATAAGCCACATAAAAATTATGAACCAGGCTATTGACATTAAGATATTATTTAATCCACTTTTTAAAATCAATAATTACCTATAATTTTAATTTCTTTTTAAATGAGTTATTTAATTTTTCGAATCTATATTATAATATCTCCACTTCAATTATTAAATAAATCATTTTTATTTTTGAATATTTACAAAATATTGCTTTTGGTCTGTCCTAGCCCTACTATTCAACACTGTGTTATCCAAATTATTATAAATCATTTATTTTCTTTTTGCTCATTTAATCCTACTTCTAGTATGTCTTAAATGATGTTTGTCATATATTAATTTTGGTTATATGACCTCGTATTTGATTTTTTTTAAATAAAGCGAATTATATCCTAGTTTTTAACTAAGTCAGAGCCCATACTTTGGCCGAAACAACTCGAATTTTTTAAACAAATCGAACAGACTTGAACTTATTTTTCTTAAATGCGATTATTTATTAAGTTCCTAAAATTTCAATTTTAAATATTTTTTTTGATACTTTTTTCGTAATCTTATTTGGCATATAAATTGAATGTATAAACATTAATTTATATTAGTTAAACTTAATCATATTTTCTAATTATTTTATTATAATTAAATAGTGCATTATAAATTATAAGTGTCATATCATATTTCCGAAACTTCACGGATTTCCCCAAAGGAACAAACCGAACTGTTATATTCGGTTCAAAATTTTAAATCAATGTAAATTAAGATATATTTTAATTAATATATATTTATAAGTAAAAAAAGAGAAAGATATAAATTTAAATTCTCAAAAATAAAATATTGATTTTTTATAGTGTAATTTTTATTTTAATAACCATATATTAGTTTAAATTAAATGGTTCATTAAATTCAAGATTCAACTATTAGAATAAAAAGATATATATAGTTATTTTTATGCAATCTTTGATTTGATATTTGGATATTATTGCCTTATTTATAGCCCTGCAAATATAATAATTTTCCAGTTTAAAAAAAGCTAGGTCTTTTATAAAATTAAATTAAATAGAAATCATTCATTGATTATCCTAGAGAAATAGGAATAGCGTTTTATTTTAATAAAAGAATATTAAACATTATTTGATTTTTTAGACTTTTGGTTTGAGAGCTCTACCAGGATTATGCAAATACTAAAAATTGTTATAATGAAACCTGAAACAAACCAGTATAATGACGAACCGGAACATTACCGAACCATAATAATTATAAGTAACAGCCAGTGTTTAACCGACCCTGACCAAGTTCAGCTTTATCATTTTAAATTGAATTTTTGGAATAAAATACCATTATTTTCATTCTTTCCTAAACTAATGACCAACTAATAAGGTAATCTATTGCTATACAAAGTAGGGATTTAATTTAAAATAATTATTTTAGTTTCATAAAATGTGATTTTAAAAAAAATTCATTTTTTTATCCTAAGTCAAGCAATGTTGCATACCCGATAATGATAATCAAAGCCTCCCTCAAAAGAATCTTCCGACCCCGCTTTATTCCTTTCTGACTCGTACTCCCCTAGCTCTAGCATTTCTCAAAAGGAGAGGCGTAGTAGACGTCAGCGCCCTTTGCGATAATGAGGATAAAATTCATCTTCCGCCCTCCTCTCTCATCCTCAAACTTAGGTTGGGAGCCGGTGGAACTGACACAGAATTGGTTTGCCACCCCCACAGCACTATTGGTGAAGCTAAAAAGGCTTTGGCTAGGAGTCTCATTTCGCCCACGACCGGCAATCGAAACTTCAATAATCGTAAAAGTTTATTCATTTTTTTTATCCTTTCAATTTTTTGGCTCGAGCTAGGGCTCTGCCCTATTTTTAATTTATTTTTAGACCCAACCCTGACACGAAATTTTTTAATTGATTAATATAAATTATACGCATTTTTATAAAGTTAACTGAAATAAAAATTACTAATTGCCTTGTCATAATCCCAAAGAAATTAGAATTATTTTATTTTGATAAAAGAAGAGAAAACATGACTATATTTTTTTAGTCCCGATTGGTCCCTATTTAAAAAGAATTAGGCTTAAACCCCACCCAAATTCTATTTTGCTTCTACCCCCCGACTTGCAAGGCTCTAGCAGTTAATATTATTCTTATAAAATGGGTTTGGATTGATAATGAGAAAGAAGGTTAACAATTTTAAAATTAACTACTTACCCATTAACAGTGGCTCTTACTTTCTGTTTATAAAGAAAATTAATTTTCTAGGTTTTATTACTAATGACACTTATAAGAAACCCTGAAAATATAAGCCCGATATCTTATCAGGTTTTCTAGTTATAAGCTATACCTATGGTACCTAAACTATTACACATATCAAAATCATCAAAAAAATTTAAAATTGTTTTAATTATAAAATTTTATAAATCATCTTACGAATTTAATTACAAAATTAAAATTTATGAAAAATCGACTACGTTTTCCTGGTCCAAATCCTTTTGGCTTTATAGGGCGTCAGTAGAAGAATTAAACTAAAGTTACTTTGTTTCATATTTCAAATCTGTATAAGATATAGTTTTTCGATAAGAGGAATAGATACGTTTATATTCTTAGACATTAACATTAGTTCCTGCGGAAGATCGCGATACCCACTTAAAAATAAATCATTGGAATAATAAATAAGCAATTCTATTCATTTGATTTGCATTATTGATAAAAGAATAGAGATTATCATAGCAAAAAGAAGAGACAACTAATTTTTAAGAACTTTTTCCACTAAATGATTAAGCATTCGCATTTGAATCGCTTTTATATTAATTGAGAAACGAAAGTTGCTTCTTTTTTCTTCAGCGAAATTCATTACTAATAAGCTTATTATAATCATCACAATATATTTCAGACTTCCCTGCTATATTAGGACTAGTGATCTGCACGGGCCTAATTTTTTAGGCCCGACCCGGCCCAAAATTTTTTTTAAAAAATTTTTCCCGGCCCGGCCCGAACACGAATTTTTTTTAGAAACTTTTGCCGGCCCGGCCCGAACCCGAAATTTTTGCCGGCCCGGCCCGAACCCGAATTTTTTTTAATTCATCCTAAAGTAATAATTATATTTTTTTTAGCTTTTAGTTTATTTTTTATATTTAAGATTTTGTTTTTGCAAAAAATATCTTAGTAAACAGAAAATTTATTTAGTATTTAATTATTTATTTAAAATACTATCAAAAATACCTATAAACCAAAAATAATTATAATGTTAAATTACACAACTATATATTAGATTCATATTTATAAATATCATTTAAAAATATCAAAGCATCAACATTTTCTGGTGACAGTCTATTTCTTCTTTCGTCTAATAACCTTCCAGTCTTTGAAAAAGTTCTCTCTGAAGTTGTGGACGTTGCAGGAATTGCTAGAATTTTTCTAGCCAATTTTGTCATCTTTGGTAATCTAATTTCATTTTTATTCCACCATTTTAATATATCTTTTTCTGGATCTATATTTTCATTATTCTCTTTTATGTTTAAATTCTTATAAATTTCAAGCTCATCTGTTTCTTTTTTTTCATATTCTTCCTCATTGTCCTCCCATCTTTCATATTCATTGCCTGATATATAAAAATAATATAAATAGAACAATTTTAAATGTACCTTTAGATCTTTTAGGCGATTCCACAATTTGAGAAACGCCTTGAATATCCAAATCTATAATATCAATTGAAGGACAATATTCTTCAGAATTAATTATATTTTTGACTGAATTCTCTACTTCTAATATTTCCATTGATGATAACATTCTTAATTTTCTATATTTGGGGCATAAAAATGTCGCTATTTTATGCAAAATATTGATTTTAAATTTAGATAATAAAAAATTTTTTAAATTGGTTTTTATTTTTTTTATTTCATTGTTTTGATAAAATGAATCATTTAAATCCTCGTGAAGAATATTATTAAAGCATAGCAGTACTTTATGTAAAGTAAGATTAATATCTCCTTCTAGTTCTTTAGTAGCTTTATCAAAAGGATATAAAATATCAATCAAATTTTTCAAAATAGATTTCTTCAAGTTTTCTATTTTATTAATATCTCCCTTGGATGATAAAAAATTGACGATGTCATCATATTGGTTATAAATAGATTTCAACATATTTAATTTTGAATTCCATCTAGTTTCGATATCTTGTTGTAATGTTTTGTCTAAATATTGATTCATGCCGGTTTGTTTAAAATACATGGTTAATTTTTTAGCAGAAATAAGGGTTTGATATATATTAGGAGCGATAATTTTCAAAGATTGTTCCTTAAAGGTATTTCGAAGAACAGTATTTAATAGATGTGCGCTGCAATTTAATCTGGTGTATTTTTCTAGGGCTTTAATTATATTAGCTCCTTGATCAGATATAAATATTATATTTTTCACTTGATCGGGAATTATTCCAATTGCAGCAAAATTTTGTAGCATTTCCTTATGTATGTTCGCGGCGGTTTTTTTCTCTTCTTTAAACTTATTCGTAAATAAAACATGTTTATATAAGGTTTCACCTTCGATATAATGAATTGAAACAGTTAAATAGGAAAACTTTTTAAAAGAATCTGTCCACATGTCTGTTGTAGCAGAGCATTTTTTATCAAATAATTGAACATTTATTTTATTAACCAAATTTGTTCTAATTTGATCCGTCATAACTATAGCATTTCTCGATAAAGTAGTTGGATGGGGAATAATTTCGCTACAGTCAATATTACCGTAAATGGAGCCAATTTGAATAAAATTTTGAGCCATTTTTATAAAGCCATCTCCAGTTATCGAATCAAAGGCACGCATGTCCTTGGCGCAATAATAGATCAAGGTATCACATAGTTTCTTTTTAATAGTTAAGGAAGAATTTAGATCTATTTTCTTTTGAATTTACCTAGTTATTTTAGGAATAGAGGAATCGTCATTCTTAACGCACTTGTGACGTCTTAAATGAGAATTTCCAGATGTGCTTTTATATTGTAATATACTATTACATTTTTTACATTGGACGTAATCAAGTTTTTTGTTTTTATCATCAAATATGTCTTCAAAATTTTCCCATATATTGCTTTTACCTAAATGGGGCAAACAAATATATGTTCCATTTTGTATTTGTTTTTTTAAAAAAATTAAATTCATTTTTAAATTATATTTAAAATTAGTTTTATAAAAAAACATTTAAATTATTTTACCCATAATAAAATATATATGACATATGGCGTCTACTTTCTAAATAAATAAAATTAAATATTTATATTTTACAAATAAAAAATGTTGCCGCCTTGTTTCTTAAAAAAAAGTTTAATTATATATTTATACCAAGAATAAAAGATACATGCCATCATATGGCGTCTAGCTTCTTCAAATAAAATTAAATATTTTTATTTTACAAAAAATATTAGTGCCAATATTAAAAATATTTTAAGGCCCGGCCCGACCCGGGTTGAATTTTTTTAAAAAATATTAGGCCCGACCCAACCCGAACCCTAATTTTTTTTTAAAGTAGGCCCAAACCCGGCCCGAAGCCCGGGGCCGGGCCTACTTTTGCAGATCTCTAATTAGGACTATTATAATTATCTACTAAATTGTTATCTACATTTTCTTCATCGCTGAAAATACTCCACCACTGTAGAAGTATATTTCCGCGGATTCGGAAAAATAATCCACATAACTTAATATATGTCCAAACATTAATTTAGAAAAAGTTTATATTATCATTTATAGAATGTAACAACATATAATCTCTTTTTTAAAAAATTTCTTTATTTTATTCAAAAAAATATATAAGATCATTTGTACCTCTTTATGGCTAGGCTGTTTACCAGATATAACTAGATCCTTTTTAGTAGAATTCTTTTTAACAGAATAGATAATTATTTTAGGTTATTTATGAAGTCGAGGGTAACCAATATATTAAATTATTAATATTTTTTGCTTAAATTCCATCTTTTAAAGCCAGCGAGTCTGATGAAAAGGAGAACATCGAAACCGGAGCTGACGCATTAAAGACTTCTCACACTGATCCCACAAATTCATCTCAAAAAGTTTGGCATTGCAACGATGCATTGCTTCCTTATTTTCAAATTTCTTCTCCCCTTTTCGATTCGGTCAAAGGCAAAAATGAAACCTGCGATCGACTGGCCCTTCCGAAACTCAGTGTCAACAGCTTAGCTTCCGCGCAAAAATGGCTACTAGCTGGTAAAGTATTGAGTAACAAAATAACACTAGAACAAGCTAAAATACCCAAGGGGTTTGTTATTCAAGTCGCACTTTGTTATTAAAGACCTTGAAAATTCATTTTAATTTAAATACTCCATATATTTTTCTAAAAGTTAAGTAAACTTCATATTTATATCGCGTTTTATTATTCAAGCATCTATGAATTAAATTGGTGACAGGAATTGGAAACATTTCTCAATAAAAAAATAAAATATATTAATGTTAAATCCACTCTTGAAACTGTTAACAAATTGAACATAGATATTATGGGGGAAAAATTGGGATCAATAGAATCTTTTTTTTGCTCTGGTTTAATTTTTTGCACAAAATTAATCTCCTTTTTAATATTTAAAATTTTTCCTCTTTATATATTTAAATTAAACTTAGAGTTTAGGATTTGTTTTTATCTGATAATTCTAATGTTGTCAATGAAGGGACAAATATATTTTATTATGATTAATTTAATTTAAAAAATAAGAATGGTCATTTTTGAAAGCAATATATAATAATTAACTGCGCAATAATTTATGAATAACTTTTTTAAAAACGTACAACCTTTTCTATCTTAAACGATAAATTTATAAAACACCTTTTGCATTTATAAGTAATAATAAATTCGGATGTCATGAATGTTTTAATAAATAAATTTTACTAATGTTTATATCAATTATATTATTTTAAACTATTTATTTCTTCAGAAATTTATAAAAATATAATATACCATTTATATAATGATATTCTTATATTTTAGTGAAACGAATTAATTTAATAACTTATAAATTAGCTAGTCTCATTTTGATTATAAGAGCTGGAGAAATTATTTTATTTTGATTAAGGAAGAGAAAATATCATTTTTTATATTCTCTTAAAAAATATTTTGAAATTTTTCTAGCCGATTTTTAAAAAATTTGAGGCCCGAGCTTGGGGTGGGTTTAATACTACTTTACACATGAAAGGCAAAATAGCCCTAAGATTACATGAAACCTTAAAACTAAATACTTTGATACTCTTCGACAGATATTTTATTAGCTAAGTTAATTGAATACCTTAAGAAAAGAGGTTTTGCCTTGAGCCAGTTCTTTAAAAGTAGATCGATTTTCTAAGTATGTCCTTCTCAACAATTCAACTGATTACTTGGTTTAGATCTCAGTGAAACACTAGTCATATATTAGGGCAAGATTTTGATTTAAATTTTATTACATAGCTCTAGAAAGTACCTTAATATGATAGTGAATCAGCTAATACCAAAAACTGGAATGGCTATAAAAAGAAAATTGCCATTTTTTTCTTTCAATTTTTTTTATAAGTTGTACAAAATTTTCTCAAGAGGGTCTAGTAATTAATCCATATAAAAAGATTATCCCTCCCGAAAATTCTAGATATGCCACTGAACTAAATTATTACCAACCACGTCGAGCTCGGTACGAATATAAATTATAACATTTTGAAGATTTAACATACCTCAAGTTAAGTATATGATGGGATATATTATAATTTATAAAAAATTATGATATAATTTATAAAAAATTATGATATAATTTTAGGGTGCGTGAGAATTTATTTTCTCTCATAGCAAATTCATAATCATTAGCTCAATAATTTTACAGATGTACTTTTTATATATACTATATTATATACCATTCATGGTAAGCAATCGAATCGAATAATCAGTTCGAAAATTTTTCTAAAGCTTATAAAAAATAGATTACATTTCGCAAATAATAAACAGATGTGAATGTTTTTAAATTACACTTTTAAGGATCCTGCTAAGACTAATTGTCATTAGCATATAAAATTTACGGAAAATAATAATCGAAATAAAACCCAATAATTTCATAAAGTTATCTGAATAATTGGCCAAAAACTGCGATTTTTAGATTTAGAATTGCTCATAAAAATATCGAAATTCTTGTCAATGCTTTATTTCTTCGTCCTAATATTCTCAAATTTTATTAAAAATTTTTAAAAATGCACAATGATCTCATTTTATAAACATCAAAATATAATTATGCCTTATCCGAATTTGACAACAACCAGTTTTTCAAGCATAAAGTTTTTCTATTAGTTTCCCTTCAAAGACATTCTATTTTATCATATTTGTCTTAACTGAGAATAACCGCTCACATGAAGCCGAAAATCCCTGAATTGACAAATCAGTTGCATTTTCGATAACATGGGCAAATGATCCCCATGCAATCCCCACCATTCTAATGGGCTCTTACTAGAAGCGATTCTTGATTTATTAAGATATGTTTCAACCTCACATTTTGATGAAATGATATTTCGTTTGTATATTTTATCCATATTACTGGAATATTATTTTTGTTTTATCCATGTTTGATTAGAATATTATTTTATCAGATGATTTATTAATATTATATTTAACTTTGTATTCATTTATTTACTTAAATTTTTCTAATAAAGTTGTATTGATGTTATATGAGGTAGGTAATTGTTCAAAGAATTCCATTATAAAGAATTCGAATCGAATAACAAAAAGTTTACTATTCGGCGGATACTTTTTCTCATTATTCTTATTCGATTATACGAATCAAATATCGAATAACAAATAATTCGTTTTTTAGGCCTAGTAAGCGATACCATGAGCTGTTTTTTTATTGGGATCATTTTTTTATTTCAAAAAAAAGTTAAAATGAGTTTTTAGCAGAAAACTATAATTAAAAATTAATTCGCTCCTCTAAGCTTAGCAGATTTTTACTGCACACGCCTTAAGAATGAACCGAATCAGCAAATTTTAAGCTGATTTCGAATATCCAACACATCAAGGTAGTGATCAGCACCGGGCCTAATCTTTTAAGCCCAATTTTTTTTGCCCCGAAAAACCCCACCCAAAATAAATATTTGTCGCCCTGGCCCGATTTAAATATAAGAGTTTTTTTAATATAATTTTATATTTTTACACTGATAATCGAGTTTTTGATCATTCTACAAACAAATAAAAAATATTGGTTCCTTGTTTTTTACATAAATTTTATTTCAAAATTTAGGCCAGATCCAGCCCGAACTAAATTAAATTTAAAAAAATATATTTTTGCAGATTTCTACCTTTCAATCAAATTGAAAATAAAGGTCAAATTTGATATACATTATTTATATTTAACCATCTTTCTTTTGTCTAACATAACATTCAAAATATATGGGAACAATATAAAATTAAATTTATCAATTTTTTAAATCTTTCACTGTCCCATAGATACGGATTTCCATAATTATTTATTTTTTGTAGTGTTGTGTAAGCGTTTTCATATAGAGTTTGGGTGATAGGAATGATTGGATGCAGATCTGATTTAAAAAAATATATACATTATATAGTCAAATTATCAATTATGGGTAATACTTCGAATTTCTATTTTTCAAATAATAGACTATTCAATATTATGAATATAAATAGTACTATGTAACTCAATTCTTCCTATTGAAATAATACCAGCAAGCTGTGAAAAAAAGGTATTTACTGATGACCACTTGATTTGCCTCCTGTAAAACGACGGTGGTTTCCTAGTCAATATTCTAGAAATAAGGGAATCAAAATGAACCATAACCGAACCTTTATATATTATTTTCTTAACCTTATTCATAACCATACCTTTTATAGGAATTTTTAAGAGGATAACGAGACACTTTACTTTTCCTTGGGGTGTTACTAACAAGAGAAGAAATATTTTATTTTTTTTAAATTACGTATTCATTAAATTTTATTTATAGCAGTAATTTTTTAAAATCTCATAGTAATTTTTATCCGTTAACCATTCTATATATAAAGTATAAAAGAGAACAATAAATCATTAACTCATACTTTGAGTAATGGAAGTTATATAAAATTGGTAGATAATGAGTTATGCTCTTATGAATATTGCCATTGAAAGTTTCATTGGCAAACATCCTAAAATTAGTAAGCTATCTATCTTTAACAGGGTTGTTAAACGATACTTTAAAAATCGCCATCCATATAACGTGGATTACATAGAAATTAAATCTCGTTACCGATACTTTTACTTTATTGCCTATGATAATTACAATATATTTTTCAATGAAGCATTTTTTTAAGTTTACCTATATTCTTTTGATAACAGTATTTATTATATTACAATGCATCGAGGTAATCCGTTTTAATTTTAAATTATTCAAAGATTCATGGCCATTATCTTATGATGATGAAAACTAATAATTCATTGTCTTTATATATTTTTTAATTTTTTTTTATTTAAAAAATAGTTAACATGTTTTTTTTAATATTTTTTTATTGCTTTCCATACCCCATCCCTCCTCTTACTTTATCTCTTCAAGATTAAGCAGGCCAAGTTTAATACCTACCGGTCGTAAACTTGGCATTAGCAGACCCATATCCACCGATCAGAAAGCTTGGGTTATTCCTCTAGGTCTCACTCCGTTGATTTCTTATCGAGTGATTCACAATATCCAGCGTCTTCTTGAACGTGAAGGGGGGGGGGGGGGGTAGGAGCAGTTTGTTTCCTATTTTGAGTGGGGTAGGCGGTTTTAATGGGGGTGGGATACTTTTTTGGCGGGTTATCTATTAAATTTTGATATCAAATTGGACAAAATTTATTGCTGTAAAAATTAATACTTTTATTTTAGACCTATTATAATACAATTCATCAACCAAATCTATATATTGCAAACAATCAGACATTATTTTCCAAATAAAACTTTCTGCTATCATTACAAATGTAATTTAAAAGGTTTATACATTTTCAGCAAGCTCATATTGCTATAATAATGAATTCATTGTAAATGATGGGGGTATTAATTGATTTATTATCTAAAAAATAACTCCTTTATATTCACAAGATGTCGATAGTTGGTAGTAACGATAAATTCAAGTTATTCTTAAATTTTCTGATAGTGTATATAATTAAAAGGGTAAAATTAAAAATAGGGAAACATCGCTGCCGAAGGCGGTGTGAATTTTTTAGAGGGGTAGGCATAGGTTTTTGAAGGGAGTTTGCATTTAGTGAAAATCCTGTCATGTAGACGCTGACAATATCTCAGCCAAGCTATTTTGAATTTTAAATCGGACGTGGCTATTGTCTATTTCAAACAAAAATCTCGGCCTTCTCACTAATTCGCTTTTTCTCGGGCGCGATATATTACTTCTTCCATATGTATTAACTGTTCTTTACTATCTGATTCTAAAGTACACCATCTTTTACATTGCTG